CACCCCACTTATCTGACACCCCCCCCCAAATTTGGTCCAGCTCACAGTTATTTGCACTTTCCCAAACACAGTTGGTCTGAAGCACCATGAACCCCACTCTAATCCTCCACTATAAGATTTTTTTTTTTGTAGGTTTAGTCCAGCCTCCCACTCCCCACAGATACTCCCGTAACCCCAAATCTCTCAGACCCAAAGTTGGTCTGGTCTACACCATACGCCCCATTATCTCAGCCTTCTTTCATCACCCTATCTAGTCCTCATTCCTCACTTGGTCTTGTCCAGAACCCGCCACCAGAAAAGCTCCCACACCCCACTCCAGCCAGTGTGGCTTCCAAGCACCAAAACGTTGACCTCTTACTCGCTGTGCCAAGACCACTCTTTCCATCACCCCCCTACTGCGGGGCCGCATTTGGTCGGTTCCAGGCCCCTCTCACTTCTTCACCCCGCCGAGTTAGCCCTTTGGCTGTTCCGTATCCTTCACTCTATTGGATCCCCGACCTGGTCCGTCGGCACCGCGGTTTCCCCCGCGGCCAGGAACTCGGCTCCGTCTAGACCCCTCGTAGTGCCCGTGGGCACCCCTACCTTGAGACGGCCCAGCTCTTCCCCGCACTTGCTGAGGTTGGGGCTTTTGCGGTTCCACTCGCCCTTGAGCTGCTCGTACATGCCGGCCGCGGCCTGCAGGACCGCTCCCGAGGCCGCCGAAGGCCCCGAGTTAGAGGAGCCCAAGGCCCCGTTCAGCGCTGCGGCCGCCATCTTCCGTGATGCGGCAAAAGGCCGGGGCGAATTACGGCAGCCACGCCTACCGGCGCTCGCCCGGCGGAAGTGCGGCCGAGAGGCGGAGCCCAAAGCCGGGGGCGGGACTACGCCTGCTCTGCTCCGCCCACCGTGCTTAGCGTTCAGTCGCTGACGGGGCGGTACCTTCGAAGCCCGGCCCTTAATGAACTTATCAGTCTGAGCTCCGTCTTCTGTCTTTCAAGATGGTGACTGAAAGGTGCCTCCTGCCCTCACTGAAAATGGCTGTAGACGCAACGCTTCCACACTTCCCATAATCAATATGGCTGCCCTGGCTTCAACCTCGGTTTTCCGGACGCTACGTTTCTGTCTTGGAGGTTCCAACTCCACGGCAGCTTCTCGAAGCCTAGAGGTGGCAGTGGTGGAGCCATTTGGAAAGCTGTGTTATTCTTTCCGTTTTATAAACAAGCTTTAAGAGCCTGGGTAACCTAGGCCTTTCTCTCTAGTCTCTCAGTGCGAACTTCCACATTGTCTCCAAGTTTATGCAAGTACGCACAAACTACAAAAATCATCCAGGCTTCTGGCTTTAAATGCCTCATACATGCGGAAGATTCCCAACTTTTCCCCGATTCCTCCATATTCAACATTTCCACTCTTTCTCAGACCCAACTCTCTTGTCACCATCATTTAGAATGTCAACTCCGCCAGAGCAGGGATATTTATCAGTTTTCTTTACTGCTGTATTCCGGGCATGTAGTAGACAGTCAATAAAATTTGTTAAAGGAGTGAATGAATGGATATGTAAAATAAGCGGTATCAGTTAAAAAAGCTTTTAAGAACTGAATCATAAGATACATATTTTCTAAAAGCAACATGATTTTGCCCTAGCCGGTTGGCTCAGTGGTTAGAGCGTCAGCCGGCAGACTGAAGGGTCCTGGGTTCGACTGGGGCCAAGGGCACGTACCTCAGTTGCAGGCTTGATCCCTGGCCTGGTCAGGGTGCATGCCGGAGGCAACCAATCCATGTGTCTTGACTCTCACATCGGTGTTTCTCTCTCTTGCTCCCCCTTCTACTCTCTCTGGAAAAGCAATGGAAAAAATATCCTTTGGTGAGGATTAATAAATAAATAAAAGCAACATGCTTTTTAGCAATATATTAAAGCTATCCCTGGAGATCAAGGGACATATATTGGACACCTTTAAAAAGATGGCTGTATAATATTCCATCTTATGAATATACCAAATTCATGTAATGCTTCCATTTTGATAATTTGGGTTATTTTTGTTTGTTAGCTACCGCTAACAACACTACAATAAAGATCCTTACCTTTTT